ATATATAGCACAACTTTTTGAAGACAAAGAGAGAACAGAAGCACCAAAAGAATTTAAGGATGATACTGGGCCTGACATTATACGAGAAGAAATTGAATATGCAATGTAACAAGCCAAAGGTGGTAAATCTCCCGGGCCTGATGAAGTTCCTATCAAATTACTTAAAATTGTGAATACTGAATCTATTGATCTTCTTTTGGATCTATTCAATACCATATATAGAACAGGTATAATACCTAAAGAATGGCTCCAATCAACATTCATACTGCTTCCCAAAAAAGCCAATGCAAAGGAGTGCAATGAACATCGCACCATGGCCTTAATGAGTCATGTCTTGAAATTGTTTTTAAAAGTAATTCACAATAGAATACATAAGAAATTAGATGAAGGCATAAGTAATACACAAATGGGATTTAGGAAAGGACTGGGAATACGAGATGCACTGTTTGCATTAAGTGTTCTTTCGCAGAGATGCTTAGATATTAATCAGGAAGTATATGACTGTTTTATTGATTTTGAGAAGACATTTGACAGAGTGCAGCATAATCGACTTAAAGAAATTTTATTAAATAAAAACATAGACAGTAGAGACATTAGAATCATCTGTAACCTCTATTGGAATCAAACAGCAAAAGTGAAAGTTAAAAACGAACTGACCAGGGATATCCACATTCGCCGTGGGGTCCGCCAAGGGTGTATTTTATCAACCTTGTAATTAAATTTATACAGTGAAGCCATCTCAGAATTAGCGCTTGCTGAAATCAGTGAGGGCCTTATAATAAACGGTGAGCCACTTAATAACATAAGATATGCTGACGACACTGTCCTTCTGGCAGGAACACTAAAAAAACTGCAACACCTTGCTGAACAACTAAATATATATTGCAACGATTATGGACTAAAAATCAATTTGAAGAAAACCAAGTTCGTGGTATTTACAAAAGCACAAACATCAAAGTTAAGCTAGTACTAGATAATACACAAATTGAACAAATATCTTCGTACAAATACCTTGGAGCATGGATCACAGAAGATACTGATCAGACAAAAGAAATAAGATGCCGCATTGAAATTGCGCGGTCAACTTTTAATAGAATGAGAAAACTTTTTTGTAATCACGATATCAATATATCGCTCCGGATAAGAATGCTTCGATGTTATATTTTCTCTACCCTTTTGTATTGAGTTGATGCTTGGACACTTAAAAAATCCAACATTAAAAACCTAGAAGCATTTGAAATGTGGTGTTACCGACGTATTTTGAAAATATCATGGATAGATCGCACAACAAACGAACAAGTTCTCGAACAACTAGGAAAAAAATGCGAAGTTTTAAATTCCTTAAAAATCAGGAAATTGAAATACTTGGGGCACATCATGAAAGGTTAAAAGTACGAACTACTAAGGAATATAATGCAGGGTAAAATCAAAGGTAGAAGAAGCGTAGGAAGACGTAAAATCTCGTGGCTACGCAATCTCCGTGAATGGTTTGGATGCAGTTAAGAAGAAGAATATGTTTACTATCCATGTATGGCTAGCATTGATACTCAGTGCATTGGCAGCTGCTTTTTTATTTGCCTTACATGACCTTACTCGCTACTCGAGTTACATGACCATACTCGCGAAACTGCTTCTCTATTTTACTTATTGTTCCTTGGGATACAGGCGGTAAATTAAGAAATTTCTCATAAAATAGGCGAGTTACTTCCTGTTGTGTTCGGGTGTTATCTCCGTAACCAATTATTTGTAAAACTGTTATTTTATGCATTTCCGTTAATCTAACCATTTTTCAGAATTGAATTGAACGAACTTTTTACTTAAATTAAAATACTGACAACTTAAATAAAACAATTTACTAATGCGTGTTAAAATAACGTTGCCACGGAAATTCTTTAAAGTTTTTTAATAGTTACCATCTAAAAACCACATTGCTATGGTTTTTGTTCACTTTCTCATTATCAAGACCTAAACGGGAAATAAGTATTGAGTATATTTTAGCGAATTTCAGTAACCACATGATTTTAATTTATTTTATCTTAATTAATCTTAATAAACTTGAAAGCGACAAAATTTTTGAATGGAGAATAAAAAGACCTTTGAAACGATATATCACAAGCCTATACTTCCTATTTTAAAAATTGGCTGTTATACCTGTCATTTTAAGGGGGTTGAAGGTAGGGGTTGCATTTTCACGTTAAAGAATGTGAAGTTATAATTTAAATTTGACGTGTTTCGGGATTTTTTTAAAAATATGTACAGTAACCTAAATAATGAATTTATTCCATTTGGCTTTTACACACTGTAAAACTTTTTTACTTTACTTTACTTTTTTACGTGGTAAAAAGTTTTTTCTAATAATTTTATCTGTCCTAATTAATATATACAACAATATGAACAATATGAAAAGAAACACGATACATTTCATCTGCACAAGAAATTGAAAGAGGTCGCTGAAAACAAATGGAAACAAGTATCCCAAAGTTTAGAAGACAGAAACGGACACAGAATATTAGACATCAATGAAAAGTTAAAAGAATGGAAAAACTACATTTCTGAATTATTTGAAGATGAGAGAGTAGAACACTATACACCGATTGCTATATCAGGTCCATCTATAACAGAAAGTGAGGTAAGACGTTCAATACAAACGGCAAAAAATGGAAAAGCACTTGGCCCCGATGAAGTAAGTGCTGAAATACTAAAGTTTTTGGGAGAAAATGGAATTAAAGCTCTGTGTAAAGCTCTTTAACAGAATTTATGACACTGGGATATTACCAACTAATTGGTTAAAGTCGACATTTGTCACAATACCTAAGAAACATCGTCCAAAGACATGCGGTGATTATCAGACAATAAGTCTGATGAGTCACGTTTTGAAAATCTTTCTGCGAGTAATACACAGCAGAATTTATACGCTGTTAGAGGACAGAATTAGAAATACTCAATTTGGGTTTAGGAGTGGCTTGGGCACAAGAGAAGCCTTGTTTAGTATACAGGTGCTAGTACAGAGATGCAAAGATATAAATCAAAATGTGTATATTTGTGCAATCGATTTTGAAAAAGCTTTTGACAAAGTCCGACATAACAAAATGCTAGAAATATTGGAAACAGCTGGATTGGACGATAAAGATCTACGAATAATTAGAAATCTATACTGGCATCAAGTGGCAAGAATAAAGGTTGAACAAGAACTGTCGGATGAAATAAATATAAAAAGAGGAGTGAGACAAGGCTGTATATTGTCGCCTTTACTTTTTAACTTATATTCGGAGGAAATATTTAAGGAAGCCTTAATGGAGACAACCGAAGGTATTATTGTGAATGGAGTAACCGTCAACAATATTAGATATGCCGACCATACCTTAGTCCTTGCCAATTGCGGAGAAGACCTTCAAAATCTAATGAACAAAATAAAACAGACTTCTGATCAGTATGGATTAAAACTCAACGTTAAGAAAACTAAATATATGATAGTTAGCAAACAAAATTATATACATGATGACGGTATAAAAGTCGGAGATGCCACACTGGACAGAGTAGAGAAACTCGTCTATCTCGGCAGTAATATCAATGAGAGCTGGGATCCAACCGCAGAAATTAAAAGCCGAATAGAACAAGCCCGAGCTGCCTTTGTAAAAATGAGAAACGTACTTTGCAGTCATGATCTTAGCATTGACCTTAGAGTTCGTATGATATCTTGCTACATCTTTCCTGTCCTGCTGTATATAGTAGAAGCGTGGACCCTAACTGAGGCTATGCTTAAACGCTTGACATCCTTTGAGATGTGGGTATACAGACGACTACTGAAAATAAGCTGGGTCGACAGAGTTAGAAATGAGGAGGTCCTTAGACGGCTGAACCAAACAACACAACTGCTCAATATAATAAAGAAACGCAAGCTGGAATACTTCGGTCATATTATGAGACACCCTGAAAAATATGATCTTTTACATCTGATCATTCAGGGAAAGATCCAAGGTAATCGTGGTCCTGGTAGAAGAAGAACATCATGGCTGAAAAATCTAAGGCAATGGTATGGAAAATCAACTACATCGTTATTTAGAGCTGCTGTCAATAAAGTCACGATAGCGAATATGGTAGCCAACATGATATCCAACGATCGATAGCGGTCATGGAACTAGAAGAAGAATTAATATATATATATATATATATATATATATATATATATATATATATATTTATATTTATATATATATAATATATATATATATATATATATATATATATATATATATATATATATTTATATTTATATATATATATATATATATATATATATATATATATATATATATATATATATATATATATATATATATATATATAGTAAACGATGTTTTTGTTTATTAAAGTTTAATTCCATTTTGCTATATTGGTTTTTGAGTTTTAATAGTCCAGCAAATTTTCTACTTTGAGCATAATTAATGAATGATCATAATTATAATCGCATGAAATAACGAATCCAAACTGTGTTTCACAAAATGAATTATAATGTTATACAATAAAACATTATAAATATTTATTATTTAGGTTGATCCTATCAGGGGTGAAAGAAGGAAGGAAACTTTCAGGAAGATGTAGAAGTCCGGCTAATAGAGTTAAAACATATGTCATGAGATCCACCTATGATTAGAGGTGTAAATGTGAAGAAAAAGAAAGGACTACATACCAAAATTTTTATCGATATAATTTTAACGCAATTATATTACATAAATAATATTGCTTTTGTACAATTCGTTCAATAATAAAGTAATTCTGTTAATTATACCAACAAAAATTCAAAATTTCTGCCTGTTTTGGTTTGTACAATATCAAATTACGGTAATTTTTATGTTCCGGTGTTGATATTAAGTAACATTTAATTAATTCAGCTAAAAACTTTTTTTCTGATTTAAAAGTATTTATATGAAGGTCAATTAACTAATTTCTATATAATATACAGGCTAACCAATATTTTGATATCTTTTTGTGGTTCAGACATGAAGTGTTTTGTTGTCTTAGTTGTGATTTGTGCTAAAGCATGGGTAAGTAACAGGAGTGTCCTATAACGCAATAATTTATTATTTTAATACCTTTTGATGAAAAATTAATTTAAATCTATTTACTTTTTTTATAAAAGTAAGAAGAGAAAAAGGTCCTATGGCAAACTCATGGATGAATGGTAAAACTCTTTTTTTTTACTACTTACATCGAATACAAAATTTATTGGTTTATTTACGGTTCTATTATTTTTACAAAAGACTAACGTCCACCTATAAAAAGCATAAGTTGATTCTTATATACCCTATCATATAACGTTTCACAAGCAGTTGTCATTTTCTCATAAGAGGTTGCTAAAAACAACAGAAATGGAAAAACTCATTACTTCATTCTTTAAACTCAGAAGAATTACAAGAAACACGCTGAGAGGTCGAATAAGGAGTTGCAAGATGTTATATACAAGGTATAAATGATGTTTGAATGTAATCTACAGGAAACTAAGCAGAAAAAAAATATTCCCATCAGTAGAATGCGTCCACAAGAGTTAATAAATATGCAAGGGATAAATTACTACATAGTAGAAAAAGTTTCGGTACCACTGGTATCACCACGCAAAAGATGACAATGTTACTTAGAGCCAACTACCCGCCAATGAATAAGCAAAATTATAATAAAGGAGAAAGAAAAAAAAGGGGATTATTTTACAGAATTGTTACAACTATTATATAATGGGAGTGTCACTCTGAGATTATCACCTCCTTCTTTAACATGATATGCAGTAGCAAAAAATTACCAGCAAACTAGTTAGAATCAATATTTAGATATATTCTTAAGTAAAGGAAAGCCACACAGTGTAGCAAATGTCGACTTATCATTTCATTGAGTCACACAACTTTTAAAGAAAATACTGCATTATCACATCTACAGTGGTTTTTAGATAAAACTATCCACCTTAAATAACTTTTGAACTTTTAATTTTTAGGAAAAGGGCAAAAACAAGTCAATTACTATTTAAAGGGAGGGACATTATGGCATATTTAAGCTTGCTCGGAAAGGTACTTCTCTGACATTGCTTAACGCGTTTGCATTTAATTGTCGACATTAACCTCTATTATTTGTCTTAAATCATTCAGAGATTCTGTTTGAATAGCAAAATATGTTGTTTTTAAATAATCCCATAAGAAGAAGTCAAGGGTCGTAAATCCAGTGACCTAGGTGACCAATCCATCATCTGTCCTCTTTTACCTATCCAACGAGCGGAAAAAGTTTTGTTTAAAAATTGTCACACATGTAAAACCAAGTGTGGAGGAGCTTCATCATGTTGAAATACAACCAAATCTTCGGAAATATTCGGAAAATTATCATTTTCTACTATTTTTCTAATACTATCAACCACTTGCCTAAGTAACTTAAGATACGATGTACCATTTAAGTTTTCAGTGATAAAAAAGGGTCCGATAAGGATCCCCTAAGATATCTCACTATCATATATGTTTCATATATATATCATAGTGAGATATCACATATCTCACTATGTTTAATCTTTAAGGATGCTGTGTGAAATTCACGCTCAATATGTGAATCATTCTCAGCTCAGTAACGGAAATTATATCTGTTCACCAATGCATTTAATGAAAATAAGCATTCATCAGAAAAGCAAATATTGTTTAACAATTGTGGATGGTTATTGATGCATTGTGTTATTAATTCCAAAATTTGGACGACGATCAAAATCTTCTCCATTTAGCTCTTGTACCAATTTAATTTTGAATGAATGAAACTTTAATTTATGAAAGATTCGAAAGGCTGTAGAAAGTGATACACCGATTGCTTTGCTTATTGTTAATGGTGACTGTGATTGCTCAGTCTCTAAGTTAACTCTACCTAAAAGGCTACTTTGATTGCTTCGTTATTTACGAGTCCCCTTTGGTTCTGTTTTTTATTGCAAACTGGCCCTGTTGCTCTAAATTTCTGCATCAGTTCAATCACATACTTATGAGTTGCCTGTCTATTGTCGTGTGTTTCATTAAAAATTCTAGCAGCATCTTTTGCACAATTATTATTTTTGTAGTATAAACCTGCAATTTTGATTCTTTCTTGCAAAGTGTAAATAAAAATTGTTTATCTCTTAAACTAATCACTTCAAGCCAAATGTATTAAACACTTTTGAAATCAGAACAAACAGTAGAATCCAAATATAAAATAAAAAGGGTGAATTTATCAAAAACAATAAAGGGGTGTTACGTAGATGAGGGGGTGTCTTTTCCAGCCAGTTTAAATATGACATAATGTCTTCCCCTTTAAATATTAATTGACGTGTTTTCGCGCTTTTCCTAAAAATTATTAATTCAAAAGTTATTTAAGGTGGATAGTTCTGAAAGCACTGTATATTCTTTGTACTATACTATACTGGTGATGAGCAGATTGGATTCCGAGACCAATATTTACAGTTTTGAGTTTCTTGGACCGTACTTTATTTAATATAAAATTAGTGTTTCTTGGGTTTCGGTTCGATATCTTATAATAAATGTGGAACTAGATTTCATTTTTCATAAAAATCAATAAAAATAAAAAGCAATATTAACGCAACCAATGACAAAAAATATACAAAAACCCTAAATAAAATATATTTTAATCTGATTTAAATAATAATAAATAAACATCATGAAAAGCTCTTAAAGTCATAACATATCTTCACTTTACCTTTGTCGAATACATCAATGATACGCCCATATAAAAATAATTATACACTAATGATCATAAACCATGAAATATCAGATAAGTATTAACTTTTACTTGTCAATTCATTATTTTCAGTGTCCCGTTTTAAATTTTACAATAACTGTTTGTTCCTAATGGCAAGGATTTCCTGCCAAAACATTGATTTCTATGGAAAATAAAATCTAGTTCCACATTTAATATAATTTATTGAACTAAAACCGAAAAACACTAATTTTATATTTAATATATATATATATATATATATATATATATATATATATATACGTATATATATATACATATATATATATATTTATATATATATATATATATATATACACGTATATATATATATATATATATATACATATATAGATATATATATATATATATATATATATATATATATATATATATATATATATATATATTTTAAACTAAACATCTTAAATTAATACACAATACTATTTTACATGGAAGACCCAGAACAAGATCCTAGATAACATAGACCAAGATATGAGAAATATGGAAATACGTGCTTGGCGGAGGAAGGAGATGGATAAGGACGACTAGATGAGAATTCTTGGGGAGGCTAGGACCCACACAGGGTTGTAAAGCCAAAATGATGATGATACATGATACTATTTTACATCCATAATTATTATTCAAATATCACTTATTAAGTTCAAATTCACTAATGTGATAATAAAACAGTGTCATTTCAGTGTATATTTGGTTGCCTGTGCTCATGGCTCACTTAAATATATCTAAATTTCCCCAAAAATATGGGAGGGGGGAAACGTCTTGTATACGTATTGCCTAACATTTTAGCTATCGAACTTTACGATAAAATACTTAATAAATAAATAGAGAAATATAAAATTTTAACATTCAATAACTCTTGAATATTTGGCCTTATTTGGAACTGGTAACTTAATAAGGCCAGTTATATGTTTGAAGGAAATTTACGTGGCTAATAAATATATCGCACATTTACACACATCGAGGACATACAAATATATCCTTGTCGTCTTTTGTTAATCCTATACATTCCTCGAGGATTACAACAAACACACTTGCGCATATCAGCCACTTTATCTTCATCACACAAGAAACAGTACCATGAATCTTTCTTTAAATTCGGTTTTGGTTTTGCTGAGCTATGACATTGTGCACTAAATAAATCTCTGGTAACTTCTTGTGCTTTCTCATTAATGAGCTGCTGACGTTTTTTTGTTGATACTTTTAACTCCGGTGTAATCAGCAAACCACTGGAACTATAACTTGCATTTAGTTCTTCACATGGCTCTGTCTCACTTATTTTGCAACTTTATTTTTATCATTTTTATTTGACGTGTAAACTGCATCACTATAATCCTCGTTCGAAGCTGTACCACTTGTGTAAGACCCAGATGAGTCACTGTCTTCATCTGAAATTAAGTTTGAAAAAAATTTTCCTTTTCTCATTGCTCGAGAATGCTTTGCTTTTATTATTTTTGTTTACACCGCTGCAGAATAGCTGTTCTTCAAAATTTGTATCCTTTTTGACAGTTGTTTCAATTTCTGGTTGGGTTGTAGGATTTTCTTGAAAATCTTCGGCGATTGTTTTAATCTCTCATTGTGTCAGACAACTAGGTGCAAAGGCAGAATTCGGAATAGCATTTGGATGGAATGGCCATATTCCAGTTGCTTCAAATCCAGAACAAATATTTTTTTGCGTCATTGCGTTTTTCTAAATCGGCGTAAATATTTGCCCAAATCTTGCTCGGTTAATGTTACGTAAAATGCGGGACTAAAAATGGAAAAACTCGCGAAGAGGCTGCTTTTAATGTATTTATTTGTTTCCACAGTCTTCCTCCGGAAATGAAAAAAACCTTAGTAAAAGTTTGGTTGTTTTTATTTACGTAAGGTTAAATTTCCTCATTATATTAGTTCGCATGATTTAATCTTGTATCCTACCAACATCAATATTCTTCTAAAAATATTTCACCGTTTTCCACTCTGCACTCTTCCTCTACAACGGAGATAGGCGACTAATCTGGCAAAACTTTTATTCTCCATTGTCTGATACTTATTATTAAAGACAATTTTCTTTTTCCTATGACTTCCTTTGTTATAGGTTTCTCTTAATAATTAATTTGTAAGGTGCACTATTTTTCTCTTTCTAATAAGTATCCCAGTTTATTCGTTTTTCTTAATTAGGTCACTAGTGTTTATTCGTTGTCGAAATTCTTTATTTATTATTCATGGTGTAAGAAAAATTTCAGCCTTGACTATAAACTGACATGCAACGGCTCTTCGTTTAATTAAGCAAACTGCCCATTTAGTGAAACTGCCCTAAATTAAGAAACTTATATTTTGGCTTCTATTTCAGATTAAGGTTCAAGTTTGCTCTCAAGACAACAATATCGAAATTCTTAATTAGTGGTTATCAGTAGCTTTAACAATACAAAAATATGCATCGAACAAATGTCCGCTTCGTTTATAAGTCCAAATCCCGCCATCAAGAACCTTCGCGCCAACTCAACACCATAACACCATGTAGTTAGTAAACTAAGGGGCAGGTAAAAGTTGAGTGTGCTCAAATATATATATATATATATATATATATATATATATATATATATATATATATATAAAACTGTTTTGGATGGGTTGGAATCAATAAAAGGGGCTATTTGTTGACTATTTTTTACTCGAGCTTTCAATTGTGATTACAATTATTATCAAGAGCTTCTAAAAAATACAAAATATCTTACAAAGTTATGAACTAGAAATAAAATTTTTTTGTTAACTCACCAAATAAAATTAGTTTGTTATATAAAACTGCTGCTTACATCATAATTACAAAAAATATTAATAAAAAAATGTCCTATTCTAATAACTGTTTCTCTGAAAAATTTTGATAGTTTCTTAACAAAAACAATTGAATTTGTAAACAAAAATTGAATAGCTACAAACCGCCTAAATGTCATAAATACTAACTTAAAAATTTTTATTTTTGACATATTGTCAAAAATAAAATTTTGTTTAAAAAATTCTTCTTTGTTTAGTAACAAAAAAGAAGAAGATTTATTCACCATTGATAGATGCCCGAAAAAATGTAAGAAATACATGGAAAATTCAAAAATTTTTCTTTTCTACGAAAATAAGAAAATATTCTAAGAAAATATTTTAGCAGATATACCATTTCCGATTATACCGGAAGTGAACAGCAACTTTATTATTTTAAATAAAAATACCCTACATATTTTGGCATTTTTAGATGCTGAATAAGATTATAGATACAATTTGTATAAAGTACTATAGGTCAAAACTTAAAACTTTTTGAGTTTTAAGTTTTTCTTTTAAATTTTGACAGCTGATTACAAACAGACTGTCTTGAAATTATTTGAAGGCAAAGAGTATATATTTTTCTTTTGGGAATTTACATTGAAATCAAATTTCTAAATACAGGATGTTCACATATATATATATATATATATATATATATATATATATATATATATATATATATATGTATATATATATATATTTATATATATATTTTATATATATATATATAAATATATATATATATATATATATATATATATATACATATATATATATATATATATATATATATATATATATTTATATATATATATATAAATATATATATAAATATATATATATATATACATATATATATATATATATATATATATATATATATATATATGTATATATATATATATATATATATATATATATATGTATATATATATATATTTATATATATATTTATATATATATATATATAAATATATATATATATATATATATATATATATATATATATATATATGTATATACTATTGTCGATATATTTTTTAGGCTGATGATACATTTATTGACATACATCAAGCCGTGAAAGAATGTGGTGCTGGAAATGGTGGACCAAACCAAGTCAAGCAGTCGCTGGATCTACAAAAAGATGGACCGACGCTCTTTTGCGTATTGAACAAAAGTGGAATGATAGACGAAAACGGAGATATGATCGAAAATAACGTAAGAGATTTATATCAAAAGGAGTATGCCACTGAAAAAGAAGTGGATGCAGTAATTGTGAAATGCGGGACTAAAAATGGAAAAACTCGCGAAGAGGCTGCTTTTAATTTGTTTATTTGTTTCAAGAGTCTTCCTTCGAGTACGAAAAAATCTTGATAAAATTATATTATTTTGGTTGTTTAAATAAAATTATGTTTTGATGTTGAGATTTTACTGTTTTATTTTACCAACAATGAATTATTGATATTATTTTCTTATCCTTTATATCTACGTAAGTTTAAATTTCCTATATTTCCTATAATTATATTACTTTGCATAATTTAACATACCAACAATAATATACTTTCAAAAATATTTCACCATTTTCCACCTGCACTCTTCCTCTACAACGGAGATAGGCGACTAATCTGGCAAAAAATTTATTTTCCTTTGTCTAATACTTGTTTCTTATCATGGACAATTTTTTTTCCTATGACTTCCTTTGTTATAGTTTTCTCTTAATAATTATTTGAAAGATGCAATATTCTGGACTTCCTAACAAATATCCCAGGTTACTCGTTTTTCTTAATTAGATCACTAATGTTTATTCGTTGTCGAAATGTTGTATGGCAAGGTTAAGGTATATTTAAGCCTCGAATATAAATTGAAGGCTTTTCGTTCATTTAAGCAAAATCATTAGCGTGTATATCCAAAATTCATAAAATATTATGGGCCATATAAGATCTAAAAAGGTATTAGTCGTAGTTGCAGATTAATATGTAAATAGAAAAAAAGTTTCTCAATCTAGTAAAACTGACCTAAATTAAGAAATTTCAGATATTTTGGCTTGTATTTCAGATTTAGGTTCAAGTTTGCTCTTAAGACAATAGAATAGAAATTCTTGGCTAGGTTATCGATAACTTTATCACTACAAAAATAGGCGTCGAACATGTAGAAGACATAAAAGTGGGAGTGGTTAATAGAAAAAAAATTGTGTACTGAAAATTCTAGAACTACAACACCCAACCGTTTATATAAATCTCCCAATATATTACTCTTGTCTTTGTAGTGTTCTATATTGCAAAAAGGCTTCACATTTTGTCTTTACTTCCTTTCTCAACCATGTGATTTTTTTTATATGTTGGTGTTGGTTACTTACCTTTCTGCAAGTGATTATGTTGCTGCATTAATTATGTTATTTTTGAATTTTTTATGGCTTTTCTCGATGTTATTTTTTTATGTTTTGCGAGTATTTTTAGCAATCTTCGTTGATATTGTTACGTTAAAATTAGTCATATTTACAAAAAAAAAACTGTAAACATGTTGATTAATTCTTTTATGTTCTAGATTTGGCCTGATCGTAGAAATTCCAGGTAAAACCTACCTGACACGATGGGTCCCTCTCCGATATGAAAGCGGTCAATTACCAAATCGACCTTTCTGGAAACAGGCTGCTATAAAAAACCAGTTTGAGACTATTCAGGTCAACTTCCGTCTGCTTCAGAGAGATCCTATGCTGACGACTTTTAGTATAAATAACAGGATTTTTATTGTTAGGAATCCAGTTAGTAAGAAGATAAATTCGGGCTCGCGTATTTAATGTACCCCGTAATAAATTAGCGTAAAATAAATTAGTAATAATAAAGACTTTAATAAATTTGTGAGTGTTATAAATAGAACCTTTAGTAAATTAAATTAAGAACAATAAATTAGAATTAATAAAAATATAACAATATTCTTTTTCTTTATAAGGATTTCGTGGATTACGTATTTATTCCTTCGACTCTGATTTTTGTTTGTTTTGGAGCCGCTCTCTTGAGCTTGAAGTATTTCAGGACGGATTTTATTTAACATAATACTACGCTATGGTTACCATATACATCTTCTGAGTTGAGGCATGTCGAATGTTTTAAATCGATGTGTATCTCTAGTGGTTATAACGTAATCTACCATACATAGATCTTTCCCTGCGGTTTTTATTAAATGTTTATTTGTTTTTGTCTTTGTGGTCAAAAAATTTGTTCTTTATTCTAATTCGTTATTTGTGCAGAAGTTTACATTCTCGTTATATTTTTGCTGAATTTCGGTCATTACCTGGTTGCCTATTTAAGCGTTAAAATCTTCCAGCATAATCTTGCCTTTGACTTGATATACTACTTGTAGAAGTAATAATAGTTGCAATTCGTCACAAATTTTTTTTCTTGTTGTTTGAGACTTTGTTATTTTCTGAGCCGTATACTCCTATAAAGTACAGGTTTTTCTCCATTGTTATCATTGTTATTAAAATCCTTTCTAATACATATTAAGACCTTTTGATGTAATTTTGGCATATTTGAAGTATTAGTAAAGCTACACCTTCTTTGACCCTATTTTCTTTTACAACTCAACTGTAGATTAATATATATTTCCCTAATTTTAATTGTTGTTTTAATAATTTTTTTATAGCAGATACGTCTATTAGTGTCTCTTTCAGCACTTTGGTTATTTCTTGGTCTCTTGTGTTAATTGTTCCATGCAGTAATTCTCATCTGGGCTGTTGGAATCGCAGAGCTACTTGATACACCCAGCAATTAACCCAGGCAGTATTATAATAAATAAATAAATTTAAAGTGGAAAATCAGATAATAATTAAATACTGGTTAAGATAATATTACTTAAAATATTTCTGTTTAAATTGAATCAAAAATATTGTAAGCAGATCCTAATTATTAAAAAATACAAACATTAATACAAAAGACCTTGACATACCAACTTTACAACTATTTATACGATTTAGCTCTTTTGTATATGAAAATAGTGTTTTTTTCATTTTTCCATAAACTCTAAAGGTCAAAAAATCAAACTGATACGGTATCATATTTAAAGGTATAAAAGCAGAAATCATTAAGTAATTAATACATTTTCACAATATCAAATATGAAATATTTAATTGCATTTATGTTTTTAGTCGCTGTTGTGGTGAGTACTCAGTGTTGTAAAACTTAAAAATTCTTTATAAACTTCTTATTCCTTCTCTTCATATGCTGAAAGAAGGTTTTTTTGTTATACAAAAGATGTTTATAACTTACATAATATAACCTATGCGCTGAATAACATTTTTATAACTTACTAGCATTCTTGAGCTCTATTAATTATTACCTTAATATTAACGTGCCTACGTTCTACTTGTCCTACTACTAACTACTGTTCTACTTTTTAAACCAGTATATCTATTTAGGAGTATAATACATATTAGGTCACTCTTGAAGTACCAAGGAGCACTAATAATGCTCTTTGGTAATCTTCTCCCTAGTATTTTTGTTCTAACTAACTAAATTTGTACATTTGGAAATTCGTCGGGTTAGTGCTTATTTGTTCCATACCACATTTTCTACTTTTTCGGGTTAGAAGTTGTAATGAAACATTGCCAACATAATAATTTATATAATTTGGCCCTGATAACTCTAACAGCCAAGACTTTCCTGTAATACCTTTGTAACTTTGTGCCATATGACTATTTTATGGGTTATTTCAGTGCTTAAGTGTTCCATATGCAAAGGCCAATAGGAAGCCAGTATTTCACACGCGCATTCGGTACTTCGGTGCTTGTTTGTGCCATGCCAGTGTTATGCAGTGAGTTGAGGTTAACGTGTCTTACTTCTTGTATGGTGGCGACTGGATGTGATAAATAAAAGTATAAAACGGGTAAGTAAATGCATTATATTATTTATTTACATTTGTAAAAATGTATACATATTATCTATTTAATGATGTGTTCTTCACTATATTACCAAATTTAATAATATCAATGTCTCAGAATAAGAATTTGGCATGTGGAACAAATAAGCACTAATTTGACAATATTTCTGCCAGGAGAGCGTAAAAACTCATGTAATTTTTTGTTATAGAGTGGATATGGATCGTAAACAAATTACCGCTATAAAAAGAAATCTATTTGAGACGATTCCCGATGTTTCTAAGTCCCGATGTTTTGATGATTCGACAATATTGCAATGTCTAAATGTTCGTCCCCTGCGCCGTCATTACCTACTGATGTCGAGAATAAGTTTGATAGTGACGATTAAGTCTGGGATCCTGATTATAGTGCAGAACCACTCAGAAAAATTTTTGACTATAACAGTGATTCAAGTTCAACTTCTTCTAATGGAAACAGAGAAAATACAGAGAGTTCTACAAAAATGGTGTCAGAATGTACCGAAAAATGTACAGAAGAAAGCTCAGCAGAAAATAACATGGAAAATCAAGATGTCTCAGCAAGCAGCAAGAAGACTTCTAAAAAACAAGAATGCGATTGAGAAATCCTTCGAACTGGACTAGAAATGTGAAAAAAGTTCAGCGAGAACAGTAGCTTCAATATAAGGAAGAAAAAGGAGTTGTCCATGCTCCAAGGCAATGTCAATACAAGTGTGTGAAATTTTGTACCTATCAATGTGTTAAAAAAATTAATACGCACGTAAGGGAAGTTATATTTAAAAACTTTTGGCAGCTAAGTGTAGCAGAAAAGGCGCATTTTATTCAAAATTTGTAAAAAAAGTTCACCAAAACGAAGGTATGTGAAAACAGAAAATATTTCGGACTGCCAGAAACAAAATTTGTTTTAATATAACCTTGAGGTTTTAAATAAGCAAATCAGAGTATGTAGGGAATTTTTTTAACTACTCTAAACATTAGTAAACAGAGAATTTATTATTTCTTTAAAAAACACTATAAGGATTACTCAGGGATTGCTTAAACCCCTTTGAAAGGAAAATACGTAAAGAAAGTCTTACCATTAGAAGCTCTAGATGGGGTACGGAAATATATTGAGTCGTTCCCCGTATAGAGTCTGATTACTGTCGATCAGATCGTGTTATTCGTAGATTGTATTTAGATCTGTGTCTCTCTATTGAAAAAACGTATCGACTATACCTAGAAAGTGACGTTAGTAAAATGTAAAGAACAATATTTTCTTCACCAAATAACTCCAACTTCAAAAAATAACCAAATAAATAATTTTATTTCTTCTAACTGCAAGTATTTGTTTCAATTACGTAATGAGTAGGAAGAATACTAGTTCTAGTTTTTCTACAGCGAAGAATATTTAACATTTATTTACTGTTTGTTTCACATACACATATTTTGATTATTAATAAATTTTAAAAGCAAAAAGGAGTTTCCTTTTTGATGTATCCTTGTATAAAAAAAAGGTGCAGTAATATAAGGTTCATTCTTTTAATTACAATATTATTCATTTATTTCAGTTACATGACGTGTACCTACGGCGAAGAATGTTTTACTTTTTGTTTCACATAAATATGTTTTAATTCTTAATAAATTTTGAAAACAAAAAGCAGTTTTCTTTTTGATGTACCCTTGTATTTTTTCAAAGGTTCAGTAACATAAGATCAGAAATATTGTAATAAACTGTGATCTAACTGTAGAATGATACATAAGATATATAGAAACGCAAACTAAACTATTTTACTTACAATGTTATTATATAATTCAGTTTTGTACTTCATTGTATATGGAACAAATGTGCAAATTCCTGTACCAGTTTTACTTTTTGTTCCATAAGCAAAGGTTTTTATTTTTTTTCTCAAATTTAAGAAGAGTCAGTAAAAATTTGAAGTCATAATCCAGCACACCATTTTAAATATTTTTTTTAGAATTAACATAATTTTCCTGTGTTTTAAAATAAACGAGTAAATACTACCAAAATATTTAAATGTAAATATCTCAAAATGAGAATTTGGCATATGGAACAAATAAGTACTAGCCGACGAATTTTATATTTAATGATTTATATATATATATATATATATATATATATATATATATATATATATATATATATATATATGTATATATACATATAATATATATATATATATATATATATATATATATATATATATATATTTTGTAGGCTACTAGCTTCCAAAAACTTGGTTATTTCACTCCATTTTTTCGGGTCTTCCTTTACTACTTTCAACTATTTCTTCCTTTTGTTCCATTTCCTCCCTTAGTATTGTTTTCATTTAACTAATAATATTTATTAATTAATCATTTAGTTATTAATATGTATAATGTGACCAAGCCATCTAGCTCTTTGGACTCGTAGCCCTAATTTTGCCTGTGTAATTTTGCAAATTTGCAAATTTTTTTACAAACCCTGGATTGTCAAATTATTATTATGTAAAATTTATTAAACTGATGCTAACTATATTTAGCACATATTTCAGTGGTTATATATAAAGTTGATAATATTCCTAAGCGGAATTTAAAGACTGCAAGTTATATTTAAGGGGTCGAAAAAATTTAAAGGAAAAACTCTATATTTTAAGTTTTTTTCTTCCCAATTATTGTCAACAGTAAATATTAAATTTAAAATCTGTAGATGGATATACTTTTCTATTCTACAAATTATTTTTTTGTACGAGCAGTATCTCTCAAGTTATAGTCAAAAATATGGACGCAAAAGACAAAAAATTTCGATTTTTTCAGAATTATTTTAATAAAAGATAAATCCAAGGTTTGCGACTTTCGCATATCGTGATGATTGGTACAAAGTACATTCTGAAGTGATTCCAACAAAAAAATAGACTTCTATGGAAAATGTCTAATTCAAATCCGGCATGAACTATTAGTAAAATATCAGTTTCTGTCAATAAACAAAACAATATTTCTTTAATATATTTTAATTTTAGGCAGCCGATCGCCACGATGATATCAAAGCAGCTGCAAAAGACTGCTCTTTAACTAAGGAACTCTTTCAAGAGGGAGTAGACAAAGAAAAGTTTGGTGCAGCGATTTTATGTGTAAACAAAAAAATTGGTCTCATGAATGAGGACGGTAGCATAAATGAAAATGTCTTTAAGTCTGATGCAAAATTATGGAATTCGGATGACGCTTTATCTCAAAAAATCTTCAATAACTGTAAAGATTTAAAAGGTGAAAATCCTAAAATTAAGGCATATAATCTAGCCAAGTGTATAAAAGAAACTAGAGGCTGAAAAAATATAATTATATTGTAGTTAATACAACCTGAAAAGATATATATGATTTTAAATCTTTTTATTTATAATATTTTGTGATTTATTATATTTGTGAAATAAACAATGCAATGTGTCTTTGGTTGTACTCCTATTAACTTTTACAGGCTTCCCTAATTAAATTACTTTAATAATTTCTATCTTGTTATATAAATTCTGCCTAAGCATCTCCCTCCAAATCTTCTTTGGTTTTGCTCTCATAGTTGCTTCCAAGAACTTGTAACTTAGCAATTCTTATATTAGGTAATTATCATCCTGACGCATAACATGCCCGAATTATGCTAACCTATGTTCTCTCGTTTTAACATTAACTGGTGCCACACCTGGGCTTCTCCTAATATAATGATCCTTTATCTATTTTTTTTTGTTACTCCACTCACCCAACGATGAATTTTTTATGTATTCATTATTCCTCTTTCTTTTTAACTGTCCAAAGTTCAGTTCCGTATTTTATGCCTCGTCTTATACCAGTTTTATAGAATTTTTCTTTCAGTTTTATTGGAATCTTTCTGCCACATAACACACCAGTCACCTCTTTTTATTCTATCCGTCTCGCGCTAATAATCTGGATGCATAAGCAAATCGATGCACATAAAAAAATTGTTTCCTATGCATCGATTGCTTGAAATTTTGACAGTAGGTGGAGAATAACTCAAAAATCAAAATCTACCCTATGCCAATATGTTTTTTTTCCTCTAGGGGTGGCTAACACCCTAATTACTCGGGGGTGGAAAAATTTTATCAACAAAAACTATGGTAGTCGCTATATAAGTAAATTTTAAGATAAAAATGTTCTGAAGAGGTTTTTCGAAAAGTCAATATTTTAGAAGATATTCGTGACTGAAAGTTTACAAATTATACGTCAAAACAGCATTATAAGCGGTTTTTTTCAAAAATTTAAGTTTTATCGGGGAAACTGTTTGGATATAAAATGGAGTTTACTAAACAAAGAGACCCATTTTTTATTATCACCGCAAACAAAATATTTATAATGTTATGGCTGTTCTAATGTAAACTTTTATTCATCGAATACAAAATTAAACAGATGATGTTGAATAACCGGAAAACGGTAAGTTTTTCGTGAAACACTTATAGAAACTTGATTAAAGATCTTATAAAATCTTTTAAAATGACTACTAGTAAAAGCGATTTTTATAAAACTTAAGATAAGTAATAATTAAAATAAAGTCCGTTTTTTTGTGATAACAAACTCGCCCCTCCAAAACCATTTCAACCTGGTTGAAACTATTCATTGTTCACACTTGCAGAACTTCAAAACTTAAAAACTAATTTTTTCTTTATATCTCTATATTTCGCTAACTGTTTGTTAAGCTACGGGTTGTTAGAACAGTGCGCAGCGCACTGTTTTGAGCGCAGCTTTGAGTATGTCGGTTTGTTAGATTAGCTCGCATACATATATTCTATCGCGCTCAAAACGTACGTTTTCAATTTTGTGGAAATCAGAAAATCGTTTTTTAAATTCCAAATTAAGTTCATTAATAAAACTTGGGAACTGGGTAACATCAATATCTTTATTACTATCACAAATGGATTTAAGGAGAGGAGATGCAAAAGTTCTGCGTTAATATCCTCAGAAATAAGTTTAATCCTTTTAAAAAAACTTCTAATATCCGATAGATGTTCACAACCATGTTTTACCTTGCATTGTAGTTTTACATTTAGAAAGTTCAGATGTCTGAATATATACGCCAAAAATGCGATATTTGCAACGTTTTCTGTGTCCAAGAGGAAGCCCAAATGGTTATTTGCAGCTTTATTATCAATAGTGGATAGAAATTCTTTTATGTTGTCAAGTATTAGAAAGAATCTTTCAAGCACTAAACCTTTGCTTAGCCATCTCATGTTGTTATGAATAAGCAAATCGTAAAACTGAGCATTAGTGTCTTCTAGGAATGATTTGAATTGACAATGCCTCAAAGATGATTTTGCACGTATAAAGTTTACTATCTTCATGATGGTTTGCATTTTACTGTGAAGATTTGGATTTAAACTGAAACACAACCCCACCTTTTTTTATTATTCGTAAAATATTTTATGTTTTGTTTCGTAATTCCGTTTAACATTCGAACTTTTAATTATTGCCATAGTCTGATGGCAAATCAAACAAGTAGGTACTGCTCCAACTCGGTTGGCAAAGTGAAACAATATAAATCTGTCCATTCAGATTGAAACTGCCTGTTTTCTGATTCAATTTTCCTTTTTTTTTTCTTATTCATATTGATATGAATGTAAAATATAAACAGCGCTAGAACTACATAGAAAACAACACTTGAAAGTATTAACTAGAAATATAATAAAAAGAGTAAAAACGTAACCAACACTCAGAATGATGACTGATCGAAGACTGCAATGCGACAAGCAAAACTGAGACTGAGAATAGGAATGCGCGATATTCATCTATGATTGATAAACATCGTACTCCTTGGGTCGATGGTCAATGTTTTGCCATTGATGTTAAATGAAAATATCCAACATCAATCCCAGTAATCTTTAGTTTTATTAAATACAATAGAATTATTATAAAATTGTACAAAATGGTTACTATGTCAGAAATTGGCAAATTGAAATAATGTTATTATGAAGTATAAAACAAATTCATTTTTTCTTCAAACGTCAAATAATGATGAAATTACTTATCTAACTGGATCCTATCAAAGTTTGATGTCTCCGCTGGCAGCAGTTTTTTTCCCATTTCTTTACGGCGGAGGGAAAAATGTTGTCATGGCAACAATATGAAACATATCACAAAGCAACAATACAAATGGCATTAACAACATTTAAACATCATTTTTATTTATAGTAATATTAAAAGTACAATTAGTTAATGAGGCATTTTCAGAATTGAAACCGTGCAAAAATGTTTCCGACTCTTGATACGCATTGGTAATTGTTGATGATACTGATGGTCGAGAACAACTTTCAGCAATCATTCCCGATGTTTACGAATCATGAGGGTTTAAAATTTTTTGAGCATTATCGTTCTTGTTTCTTATTGAATCCTCTGTATATATCCTTCGGCAACCGTGTTTGATTTCCACTCCATATGTCGTTTGAGTCATTCTAGATTTCCCCCTCCATCAATTAGAAGTGTTGCTGAAGTTCGTCGTAAAGAGTGACCCGTGTATGCCCTTGTATCGTTTAAATTTAAATAACTAGCTACTTTTTGGGCTACTGCGCTAATCGAATGTATTCCCCTGACGTTTTCTGTGAAATTTTCAGGCCGCAGTGATGCATACTTTTTATACAGTTTAATGTAGTTTTGACCAATTATCGTAAAAGATCTAATTTGTCGTGTTTTACTGTCTGGGATTTTAATAATTATTACATTTTCTTTATCCTTAATGTCCACAGTCTTCATTTTTACCATTTTGTCGCATCGACAGGCGCCGGTAACCCCAATTAACAAAACAATCTGAAATATTTGCACATTTGCTATATGCTTTGTAATTTTTTTAGCTTTAATCCTAAATACAACTTATCTGGCGCTTCAAACAAAAATTTATCAAGCTCGTCTTAAAAAGTAAAAACTTTAGACTTCTTTGCAATACCTTCGCTTGTTTTTTTTCAGAAAGGCACGTAACTTTAAAAATTTGCTTATATCCACAGTTTTTCTAATAACTAACTCGGATTTTATCATAGAGTATCGTGACCACATTGTAGAAGATTTCCATTTATTATCATTTTCCATTATATTAAAATATGCCAGTAAAACGTCTTCGGTAACTTGCCGTACTCCTCTTGTATCGCACCACTCTTATAAGTGCTTGTACGCTAACCGATACTTTATTCCGGACTTGGAGGGTCCCAAACGTGCTACTGCATCATTAGCCGCGGATTCAATTTCGTTTAGGTTTTCCATTTTCGCACTAAATTTGCGCTTGCGGTTGCAACAACAATAAGCTGTCTTTAATAATTGCAAACAACTGTCAAACAACTTGCGTAACTTGCGTAACAACTTGCGTAACCAGGGAGACGCAAATCCCACCGACGACTTAATTATTTTAATTTTTAACATCTGGACGTTGATTGTCACAGTTAATTTCGAGTAAAAGTAGCGTATGAATTGTACTATTTATGGTTGAAAATTGCTACATTTGAAGAAAAAATAGTATACTTTATTCGGCAGAGAAGCGACTTTTCTTGACTTGCCCTCTATTACGCGCCTCACTTCGTTCGGCGCGTAATATCGGACGCGTCAAGAAAAGTCATGCTTCTCCGCCTCATAAAGTAATATACTATTATTATGGTTCTATTACCTGAAAGTTTGGAAAACACATTTTAGTTTTATTATAGACTGGTTACTAGGTACGTCATAAATAATATGCAAATTAAAATAATTTTAGTTTTCAGACAGCTTCCCTATTGTAGTTTCCTAAAAGATTATTTTTAAGTAGGTACTTCCTCTCTTGGAAAACCGTTTAGTCGAAATATATTGTTTAGATTACGAGTATTTCTGTATAGTATTACTACTGTGCATTTTAAAAATGTAAAGACATTTATATATTTAGATTTGATTATAATTTTACTATATAATTTTATTACTATATTTTGAAGTTAACGGCGGTCCGCAAAAAAACAAACTGACGCGGTCCGTCATTTGGTGACCCCTGGATTAGAGTATTCATTAAAAATGGGAACACGATTTTTTAGTTCGATTGTTATGTTTGGTATTATACGATTTAAATATGAAATTTTATTGCATGTTACCTTATCTCCAAAGATAATGTTATGTGATTTAATGTTAATCTAAAATTTTCAATTTTTTTGTTTAAAAATCGGTTTGTGTTGGTAACTAGAAGACTTTTAACATTCATTTTAATGTCTTGGATATGTCTGGGTGCCAGTGGGTGGTATGTTTCTTTTTCTACATCGTAGTAGAAATATTTCCCTGTTACTGTTAGTGTGTTTTGCAAGCTGCTGGTTTGATGTTGGCCATTGCTGTATTTACTTTACGGTGTAGATTCCGTAGATGTTACGAATATTCTGATAAAAGTCCATGGTTTTTATTTTTAAAATTGGAAACCTAAACAAAGTGAATATTTCAATATTTACAACTAGAAGCGTAAAATTGTAAGTTTGTTTGAGTTTAATTTATTTAGGAGTTGTGGTAACCACAATACATTAAATTTTATAGAGTAAATTCTTAGATTGGACAATTTCAAGTGAATAAGTTAAAGTAAATTATTATTATAACAGTATTATCGATAATGTAAGGTGGAAAGATGCAATTAATAGTAGAACAATAAGAAAGAATCGGGAACATGTTAAATTGATCTAAAAAATGTAAGTGATGGTAAACAGTGATGTAGTAGTAAGATAGTAATTCAGTATCCAGTTATTGTAATACTGCTATTAAGAAATGCAAGTGAATTTGTTTTTTAAAGGTTAAGATCTGTCATATCATATCTTGTTTAGTATGTTGCAGTAGATACTGTAACAGGTACAAATAATTCAGAATAAATTATTGAAATAAAGTTTTATTATTTTAATTTTGGCTAAATAATTGTTAACAACTCCACAAGATTTCATGGAAAATTAATGCATTCCCAAATCTTATTTTGTCTCTGAGATGATCTATTCGTTCTTTTCTTGATTTTGTACAGCCTAAAACAAAAATAAGTATAAACTTTAAATGAATAATAAACTTTGAATTAAAAATAAACAAACCAAAAAGCCTATTTCTTATTTTAAAGGTTAATATCAAAAATAGCTTGATAAAATTATTCTTCTTGTATTTTTAAATAGATCTCAATCCAGATTAATACTACAACAACTTATTTTAAATAAATTCTTACTGGACAATGGCCGGCGCCAGATAAAAAAAACTTATCTTTAATTTTTTTCTTTTCCTTTCTTTGGTGGTCTTTTGTATGGAAAAATATTGGTTCGTGTAGAACTTACAACGCAATTTTGCGGCTTTTCTAGAGTTTTCTTAATAGTTTTCCGAAAATTTAATAGTTTTAGCAGTAAGAAGCTGAGCAATTATCACCTATCGTGTGGATTTGTTTTCTAAAACTAAAAGAAACTCAATTTTATAAACTAATTTCGTATTAGAAACACTTTAAGGCTACATTTGAACAAAGGTAGGTTTCCTTTTGGAAAAAAATAAATAAGTATCTACTTACGTTTTAAAGCTAATAACGTTTTTTTAGGCCATTTTATTTTTAATCTGTGATTTAATCTCAAACCAGTTTGATCATCTTTTCAAGTTATATTTATAATCTCGCGACTCCTTAAGGAATTGGCTATCAGTTTCCCATATTAGTTAAGATCGGATGTTATCCAATTGTCCATAAGAGAGAAAGAACGTAAAACGTCGGATTATTAAAGAAAATAATAATAATAAATATTAAGTACTTACCTGGGATCAAGTCTCCAGTAATCAAGAAGATAGACTTTCTAACAGCTAAGTGGAAATTTATTCTTAGTTTTGGTAGAATCGAACATTACACTAAATTTCTTAATTTTTTTAAGTACGACACTGTAATTAGAACCCCACTGTAGTGGTTATAATAAGAACTTGTTAATTAACCTTTTCACTTTATTGTTCAACTATTGATTTTAAATTAATTTAAAAAAGAAATCTTTAATGAAGACAAAAGTAGCAATCGAATAATGTATTGATTTATTGATAATCATTCCTTTACCCACTTCTCTGAGGGCTCTCCGAAAGAGGGTTTACATATACATATCAATTTGGCGCCCAACGTGGGGCCCTAACTCTAGAAAAGCCGCAAATTTGCGTTGTAAGTTGTACACGAACCAATACTTTTCCATACAAAAGACCACCAAAGAAAAGAAAAGAAAAAAATTAAAGATAGGTTTTTTTATCTGTCGCCGGCCATGGTCCAGTAAGAATTTATTTAAAATAAGTTGTTGTACTACTAATAGGATTGAGATCTGTTTAAAAATACAAGAAGAAGAAATATATCAAGCTATTTTTGACATTAACCTTTAAAATAAGAAATAGGCTTTTTGGTTTGTTTATTTTCAATTAAAAGTTTATTATTCATTTAAATTTATACTTATTTTTGTTTTAGGCTGTACAAAATCAAGGAAAGAACGAATAGATCATCTTAGAGACCAAATAAGACTTAGAAATGGATTAATTTTTCATGAAATCTCATGGAGTTGTTAACAGTTATTTAGCCAAAATTAAAATAATAAAACTTTATTTCAATAATTTATTCTGAATTCTTTGGACCTGTAACAACACTACTTAAATGGTTGATTCAACATGGTTAAGTCAACAATGTGCTTATTTGTCTCCGTGTAAAATAAAAAATAACGAAAATAAAGGAACACAAGTTTAAACATCACATCACAAAGGAATAGTATCCAAGGCTTTCCTGATGCATATGCTTAAAATTTCGTATGGAACATTAAGGACACTGTGTTTTACTTGTTTTAATTTCACTTGTAAATAGTTGCAACTTTTATATTTAATCCACTTTGTTACCAGCTATAAAATTTACACAAGTCTAATATTTCTAACCCTTACATGTTACAAAATTAAAGCACATTTTAATCAGTACTTACCAACAGGAGTCTCGTTTGTAAGCCTACATTGCTTGGTATGTGTAATTTCGAGGTGTTTAAAAGTGGTAGGTGTATTTTTATTTATTTGTATATTCATTTTCTTTGTATACAGAGCACAGCATGATAATCATAACAACACATCTAGGTGTGTGGTTAAATAAAATTATTTAGTTGGCATGAGATAATCATAAAACTATTTAATATAATATTTTTATTAAATATTTGTATAACTATATGATTGATATGTTGAATAATTGAGTACTTTATGCACTTTTTTAATTTTCACAATATCTAAGTAAAATAATTTTTAATTTCCGGTGTTTTTCTTTTATTAAAAATAATATTGCACAACGATAAAGTGAACTTGCATTTAATTAGTATTAATTCAAATACATTTAGAAGAAGGTCGATAAATAACTGCTTAATTTTATTATATAAACTAGTTTAACAGAGTTTTTTATTTATTTAATATGAAGATATTTATTGCTCTAGTCATACTATTTGGCATAGCCTGGGTAAGTTTCCGATATTGTTTTTTTTATCATCCTGCAACTTATTTTGGGTTTTAGACAAAACTTTTAGAATAAATTATGTATTATGTCCTAGGCAAGTATGAAATGCAGGCATTCTTGCAAAAGCCTAGTCATTTTCGTTATGACTTGGCAGTTTGTATAACGTTTTCATTTTTACAAAATGACTTCACCCTTTAAGGCATTTGTGAAACTACCGAAAACGGTAATTCTATTTTGAAATAGTGTTGCAAGTAGTTGCAAACAGATCATATAATATTAAAAAAAATTTGTACTAATTTAATTCTCTAACCCTAGTTTTCCAATTTCCATGATTACAGATTACAGCAGTGTTTAGAAAAGTTAACATGGAGTCATATGTCGTTATGTTACCTAATCCAACGGTAACTTTAACATCTTAAATCATTATAAGAAATTTTGGAAACTAAATGTAATTAATTATTTGTTAACGGGTTTTTACCCATATATTTAGTGGCTGCATTCATGTACTCCTAGACACTGATGATGGAATATGAATTCCGAAAACGTTTTGTCTGTCTAACTTAGCCCGTTTGGGTTCTTAAATATATACCTTTTACAAAGGATTTTAATAAATTTGTAACAATATTTCGGTCATATAAAGAGACATCCAGAGAGGTATTACCTTTTACACCTCAAAATACAGGGAAGGTCGCCGAAAGAAGAAGAAGAATTTCAATAACGATACCTAACAACAATAATCTTCATGTTAAGTACAATGAAAAGATCGCCAAGTACAGATATTTAAAAATTATGAACATCTCTGTAGTACTATGCATAAATCAGTACTACTCTCGACGTCCAGATGTGTACGAAAATTTTTGGGAGATACTTCAGCATACAAGTCACCCAGGACTCGATATTAAGAAAAAATCCCCACTAGAGCTTCAAGTCAATCTTTTTGATATCGTAGATATCTGAGATGTGTAAATTTTTTCCTTACTGGGAGTGACATTAAAATCGTTTGGTAAAACAAAGCAATGGTAACAGAACATATTATTACCGATCTATAATATAGGAACAATTCAGATTAACAATACTGAAAAGAATATTAATTGAAATACCAAATAACTTAGAAGAAGGAAAAGCCACACATGGAGCTGATAGGCAAACAAACAATAGGTATTTTGACAAATATCACAGAAAAAACATAAAAATCGGAAAAGACATCTAAATAAAACTGTAAGACACAGATATTATTGAGGTTTTAGATATCTATACCTCACAATAATTTCTGTTACACTGTTATAAATCAGGAACTAAATATGAGTATCAATTCATACTATGAGAGGATAAAGTTTAACTTTCCCAGACAAATCATTTATTTTAAAAATAAAACAAAATTGGTTACCTATCTTACAATTACGATATTTAATGCTAATCTAATGCTCTTATAGGGTTCTAAAATTCGTGTGATTTACCTTTGTCTTGTTAGAGTCCTTTCAGTAATCATCAGTTTAGTGCGTTCACCTGTCATAACACCTGCCTAAAACATAACACTGCCACCAACCAAAGCATGTGCTAGTTGTACAGCTCTTGTTTACTCTCGCCAAGCACGAATTCGCCCGCTATCAGCATTAAAAGATATTCTAATCTCGTCTGAAAGAAACACAAAATTTCAAAACTCCTAAGAGCTGTATGTATATTTGAACCCATTGCAGATGATGCAAAACATGTCTAGGTTGTAGCCGAGGAATTCTTATTGGTCGCAAACGCCGGAAACCTGACATTAAAATTCTTCTTCTTATTGTAGCCAACGATACTCTGACTCCAGTAGCATACTTGAAGTATATTTGGAGAGCTGTTATAGATATAGAAGAATTTTTTCAAATGAAAATTTTGATATATCTATTCTGTTGTTCATTGGTCACTTGGAGTCTACCAAAGGTCTTTATTCTGTATCGAATTTGTCTCTAAAAGCCTATGCCATATTTGTGAGACATCATTTTGAGAAACTTTCACTTTTTCCGCAACGACCCGTTGTTAATGGCCTTTTTCAACTAAACCAATAATTGTTGCATGGTCCAACTTAGAAAATAAATTAACATTCAATATAAATCACCTCACAAATTTTACCAAAATTAGTTTTTCAAATGAAACCAGATCAATTAAATGGTATTTCAATAAAATAAAAAACTAAAAAAGGTATGTTTTATATAGAAATGTTAGGAGCACTTAAACTTATATTTTAAAAAAGGTTTTATTTGAGAAATCACAAATTTACAAATTATGAAACTTTTGTTTTACAATGAAATTACAAATTAAAAAGAACGTTGAAAAATTTATGTTGCACCTATTTATTAGTTCGGTTATGCTGCGTCTGCTTTTGGGTCATCGATTGACTTGGGTCGCTGAGCATTACATTTCTCTTTCCTCCTCTGGAAATGACTTCGTCCTCAAAGTCTGGGAAGCTTCTGCGATTAGCTGACCTAGAATTTGAATTTGGGCTGGCTGCAGTTTGGCTCCAAAAAGTAATCTGGAAATTCTTTTTTTCTTTTTTATTAGAAAAATAAAAATGAAAAGTAATAGATAAACTATTAAAATTAAACTGGTGGTCCCGTTGAAATTTGTGGAATAGGGTCCAGCGTTTCTACTGGCTGAAGCTGACCATGGATCTCTGGAATTTTGAGTTTTTTACTTTGAATCTTATGCTCTGGTATGTATTGTACTTGTGTAGTATGTTTATTATATTTTGTTCCTTCTGTGATAATTGGTTCGTCCGTCATTAGGATACTACTGTTTATGACTTTTTCTGCTTGAATCTTTATTGAATTGACTACTCCTAATAGTATTACTTTATTGGTTTCTTGTAAGAAGTTTTCTGTGACAACGACTTTACTGCAATTTTGAACACTGGGTATGAAGCATCTCGATTTGATCAATTTCATGCAAACTATGTATTCAGCAGGTCCCTTACAGTCTTCGTACCATTTACTGTTAGCAGAAAAATGTGTGGGTGGCAATATCATAATGTGATCTGAATTAGGGATAAGATAAATTCTATAGGTAAGGTATAGGTTAATGTCAAGGTTAGGGATTTTTATTAATATGAGCATTGTTTGAGAAGTGACACAAACAAGGGCTTTAGATGCTTAAGTTTATAATGATGATTATCATCGATAAAAAGGGCATTTCTTGAATAAATTTGAAAATTTTCTTTTAAACTTTCAAGTTCATTTAATGGGAATAATTCAACATCTGATATATCTAAACTGGATAAGATGATTGTTCTGATAAGTTTCATTAAAAATTCGTTAATATTTTGAAGGTTAATTATTTCATTATGTAGAGCAACATAGCCATCAAAATCGGCAGATAATTTATTAACTGCGGAAGTTTCTCGAATCTCGTATCAATTGACTGTCCAAATGAGATTTAGTTGTTAAATTTTCTTATGATTTCATTTTCTTTAAGTTCAATAGCTGTAATGTGTGTTCTTAACATATCTAAATCTGAATTATCGGTATTACCCGCTACATATTTAATAGCTGTACCGAGAAAATTAAAAAGTTCCTTTTTCTATTTTCTAGTTATTTTGTGTAAATTGTGTTTAGTTAGGTCATGTAAATGAGTATACTGGGAATACAATGAGAACAGAGGTCCATTTGTAATAGAGGTTTTAAAATAGTAAATAGGATCTCGTTCTAAGGTTTCTTCTAATTTTTGTGAATTTATGTGCAAGATATGTCTGTGATAATGTGCGGTTTCTCTGGATTTTCCAACTTCTTCGGCAAAATAACCATTATTCGGAATTTGTTGGATCTTGAGAAGGTCCAACCGAAGTGTGACTTTTCTTGGTCCCTTGCTGTCGTCAGATCCTTGTAAAATGATTCAGCTTCCTCGTCTGTTGAGTTTCCTGTCGGTGCATATCCATGTATTATATGTAAGCTGTATCTGCTGTCCTACAAAACATAAATTGTCAGCCCACTATAGCATGTTACATAGAATAATAGAAAAAATTCCGATGTCTAAATATAACTTTGAGAGAGAATTAAATATCATTAAACAAATGGTAGTAGGCAATGAGCACAACGAACAAGGAATTAATAAAATTTTTAATCCAAAACTACACAAGAAAGCCCTGAAATTAGTATTTCCACCATCAGTAAAAGCCAGTACCTTCTGCTTGATTACATATACAGGCTAAATATCAACAAGAATAGCCAAATACATAAAAAAGAAAAAACCAGCTTTTAGAACAACCAACAGATATATTAAAAATAATAACAGTCAAAATAAAAAGCACTGCCCAAAAACTTACATTGGTCAAACAGGTAGAACTTAAACAAACGTATGACAGAACATAAAAGTGCTTTTAATAATATAAAAACAGATTCTACATAAAAATTTCACCTTCTTAGTGTTCAAATGAAGTTTGAAAACGAACAGTTCTCTCCTACTCAACCTATTCAGTTAAAGACTATAAAGTGTAAACACATACCAAAAATAGATCACTTGAGAAAGGCACTCTGTCGACACAGCTGCAGTAATAAGATATTATAATAAAAAATTTATTTCAAATCCTACATAAAAGGTATATAATAAAATGCCCAAACGGGCTATCACAATTACATTACAGAACGTTTTCGGATTGTTAAATCCATCATCAGTGTAAACGAGGTATACATGCTATGAGCCCCAAAATATATGGGTCAAAACCCTTTAAATGTTATAAATTTACAGATGTTTTACATTATTTATAGTTATAAATTAGGATGTTTAAGTTACCGTTGGAATTGGTAACATGGCGGCGTATGACCCTACATAGGTAAAATGGTCCTGAGACGAAGTGTCTTCGAGGACCTGTTGATAACAACTTCAATTGTTCAACTTCAGTTGTTATCAACAGGTCCTCGAAGACACTTCGTCTCAGGACCATTTTACCTATGTAGGGCCATACGTCGCCATGCTACCAATTCCAACGGTAACTTAAACATCCTAATTTGTAACTATAAATAATGTAAAACATCTGTAAATTTATAACATTTAAAGGGTTTTGACCCATATATTTTGGTGGCTCATAGCATGTATACCTCGTTTACACTGATGATGGATTTAACAATCCGAGAACGTTCTGTAATGTAATTGTGATAGCCCGTTTGTGCATTTTATTATATACCTTTTATAAAGGATTGAAAATAAATTTTTTGTGATATATGGTATACAGCCAGCTACAGGAACTTAGTTTCCTAGTGGATTTTTATATTATAATAAATTTTGTGGAAGTTTGAAAACAAAGTGTTCAGTATTTTATTTTTATATAAAATGAATTTCTATCAAGTAACGGTCGAATCCATCACTCATCAAATATTTGAAGCTTTTTAAATCAGTATTTAGTATCATTATTTGGGTGGAATTTTGTATAAGGATTATGGCCAGGCTCAGCAAAAGTATACTTTTGCATGCTTTGTGAATTTGAAACATTTTTTTTTTCATCAAGTCCAACATCACAAATAATTAAAATTCTAAAAATTCAGCAATTGTGTTTTTTTTCTCGAGTTTTGTCCTGCTTAACACTTGAATGTTGCACTATCAGCTACTTTTCTACCCCATTTTTTGATATTTTATGGTTGTGTTCATGTCAAATTTTATTTTGACAACCATTTGCGCAGTGAAAATCGAAACAACAAAACAAACTAACTTTAAACCAGATTGTAGATAATTCCCAGTATAAATAGTTATTTATTTTTTTGTTCTTTTTCTTAGCTTTATTTAGCTTTAGTTTAAAAGAATTTCATACACATTTATTTATTTTTAACGACTAAGAGTTTTTTATTTAAAAATATTGTAAGATGTGATAGTATTATTAATATTCTTTATTTAGGGTGATGATGTATTCAAAGACTTGACGGTTGCCGTGAAAGAATGCGATGCTGGACCTGGTGGAGCAAATGAAATAAAACATCCTATGGATCTACAAAAATCAGCAGCAACAGTATCCTGTGTTATGATTAAAAGCGGACTTATTACTGAAAACGGAGACCCGGTGACAAGTAAAATTAAAAAATTGTTTGGAGAAATTAAAGATGATAACGAAATTGACGCAATGATCCAGAAATGCACCAAAAACGGAAATACACCTGAAGAGGCAGCTGTAAACTTATATATGTGTTTGGAATCAAAAAGCCCTTGATTGATTATTTAAAAATAAATCTATTTTAGCAGTATACTATTTTAATTTTTATTGTTCTAGTAAAATATATTCGTGTGTTAGAAAGATATTGGAGAATATATCATAACGATGTTTCGTAAAAATTCTGATAGATTTATATTCCTGAATTCATAGATATCCTAATTTGCCTTTGTGCTTATTATATTCAATGTCTATCTTTACGTACCAAGACTTCATACTTCATACTTGTTATGAAATCTTATTACATATATTTATTTTTCTTCTTTTATAATACAATTCGTCTTCTAACACTCATATTGTTTTATACTCATGAAAGAATATAGATTATTATTAAGAATGTAAATAATTTAATATGTAGCATTTTTCATTTTATATAATTTATATAAAATGACATCACTTATATTTATAATTTGATATGTGTCAATATGGTGTAATAATCAGAAGAATGTAATAATTCTTGAATTTTTAGAATTATACTGATTAAATAACCAAAAACATTTATTATTATTAATAATATAAAATTTATGAAATAAGTCTTTAAGTCTAATATTCCACAAAATAGTAATTTTAATTAAATAGACTAGACAATTGTACGCAACTGACACAGGAATACATCAAATTTTATTGACAGTTCAGCGAGTGGGAAAATTGTTTGGAGTGTTTCCGCTTTTTGGAGTAAGAATTTTGTTTATGTTTTGATTTCTTACACAATTTGATTATAATATAATATATATTATTCAATTGTATTTATAAATACATATTAAATTTATATTAATAGCTTTAAAAACTAATTATTGTTGTGTTTTGTGATTGTGATATGCCAAACCAAATAAATAGTCTGTAGAAAGCTGATAAGCTTTCATATTAGATAGATTATTTTAAACAAAAAATAATGGCAGGACGTTTTTAGTATTAAAGCCCTTAAAGACGTAAGTTTCAAATTTAGAATATATCATTTTGTATTAAAATGTTTTCTTATGTATTTTGGTGAGTTATCGTAGTCTTAAAACTAAGTGAGTATGCTGTTAATATAATAGTGTGACAAATAGTTGACATTTTAAAAATTCCTCACTTACAAACTATTCTGATGTTTTGGTAACGCTGTGGGGTTCTGACGTCGTAAATCTTGAATGGCCTGCAAGCATTTTTATATAAAAATTGCTATACACACATTATTTCTTATACAGTAATGACATGGACATAGCACATGAACAACGTTTTCGAGCAGAACAAAAAACGGGTGTAATAGTCCAGTGGGACTGTCGGTAGAAGTTATACTTCACGCGTTCGTCGTTAAAAATCTATATGGGAGTCAATCTGCACAATCATTACATATTTAATGCTATAGTTAAGAGAAAAATACTTAGAAAGAGAAAAATACTTAGTTACATAGGTATATTGTGCATCGTTTGATATATATAAACATTTGACCTTTAATAAGTGTATAGTAAATAAGGAATTGTATTAATATCTTAATGAAAATATATATTTTTATTTTCAAATACGTATAAAGCAAGTTAAATGCAAACAATTTTTTTACACATACTCTGCAGTAAAATTGATTGTGTATTTTGTTATTAATATAAAAATTACAATACAATACACTGCAACCTAATTCAATATAATAATACAATATAAATTTTTTTATTAACATTTAAGATTTTTACAATCTGTTTTGCAGTGGAAACAATAAGTAAAATTTTTTGTCTTTACATGACAGAGAGATGTAAGGTCCAGTGACCAAATAATCACGACACAAATTGGCTTGTTTACTGGTAGGATGCGCACATACACTGATACGCGAGCACTAAAAGCGGCACTGATCACAATGGCTGGGTTCTGTTGGAGGCGTAACTCCCACTGCTGTAGGCTCTGTCAGGATCGGTGAGGTAGGTCCAAGGGGTCATGTCGCTACAATCTCTTCGCTTGTTTGTTTTTGAGAAGATTGTGTGCCAGGGTATTAGGATGCACCCGCAACCTGTTTTGATATTGTTCAGAAGATTTTTTGCACTCTTCGAGACTGTTAGTACCTGAAGATCTCTATGTATTGCGTCATTCTGAATATACCAAGCTACATTAGCGATTGTTCTCAGAGTTTTGGATAGAAATCTTTGTATTATCATAATATTAGATTTGCTAGCTGAACCCCAGAGCTGCGAGCTATATGTCCAAATGGGTTTTATTATTGTATTGTATATCAGCAGCTTGTTGTCGATCGATAGGTGAGAGTTTTTTCCAACATCCAGTAAAGTTTTCTGTATAAAATTCCCAATTGAAGCCTTTTCGTCCATTTGGTCCACGTTAGACGTTTGTCAAGGTGAATACCTAAGTATTTTATGTCATGGTTTTGGGGCAAAGGATGTCCATTGTCCATTGAGGTTAACTTGTGGACATATACCTCTTCTTAGAGTAAATGTAATTTGTGTGGATTTTGAGGGGTTTACTCTAATTATCCAGAGTTTAAGCCATTCATTTGTTTTGTTCAGATGTAGTTGCAGTCTCTCTGATGCTATTATTGGGTAGCTATGAGAGGCCAAGAAAGCAGTATCATCTGCGAATGTTGCAAGCGTTAGGTTATTGCTTATTGGCAACTCAGCCGTATATATCAGGTACAGAATAGGTCCGAGCACACTACCCTGAGGTATACCAGATAGGATGGGGTAGTTTTGTATAGGCTTCACTATATTTTACCAAATACCTCCTTTCTGTAAGGTATGATTGAAGCAGTTTAAAGTAAGGGTAAGGTAAATTTTTCTTTAATTTGTACAAAAGTCCTGTATGCCACACCTTGTCAAAAGCTTGAGGGGCGTCTAAAAAGGCTGCAGTACAGTATTGCTTGTTCTAGAGACTACTCATTGTTGTGTATAGTCTGTGGACTTGTTCGATTGTACCATGTTGGTTACGAAAACCAAATTGATGGTCAGGTATGAGACACTTTTCGTCCAATATTGGTTTGATTTTTCTTAGCAGAAGTTTTTCAAAGACCTTAGAGATGACTGGGAGTAGAATAATCGGTCGGTATGAGTTGACATCTTTTGGATCTTTACCCGGTTTTTGAATGAGTTTAATCTGTGCCACTTTCCATTGCAGAAGGAAGTTATGCAGACTAAGCATAGCATTGAAGATCATAGTGATTATTCTGTAACCGTCATTGGTTAGTTCCTGGAGGATCTTACCCGTTATGAGGTCGAATCCCGGAGCCTTATTGGGTTGTATCTCATTATTTATTATCTGTTTTACTTCTTTAATATTAAACTTGGTGATTGGTAGTTCCATTTGATATGGAGCCTCAAGAAAAGAATTAAATGGTTCTTCTTGTTCTAAAGGCGCTACTTTGTTAAATGGACTAAATAGTGTAGAAAGATTTTCAGCGAATGTCTCAGATTTTTCTGTGTCTGTTCTTGTCCATTTACCTTTGACATTTTTTAGAGGAGGTATGGCGTCTTGTGGACCTTTCACCTTTCTCGTCGCCTTCCTTAGAGAATAGTTGGTGTCTTTGGATGGAGTCAAATTTTCTAAGTAAGTTTTGATCCACCTGTTTTTCTCTTCTTTTAATAGATTTTTAAGTCTTCTGGTAATTCTGTTTAAATTTTGTTTGTCAATAGAAGCGTGTGTGTTTTGCCACTTTTTCCTAAGTTTTTTTTCTCATCGGTCAGGTTTTTTGCACTTTGCGAACAGTTTATGCTTTCCTTCCATGTTGTTTGTTCAGGAGTAGAAATCCAACCTGCTATTTGTATGGAGGTAGTAAGTTGTTGTACCGCATTTTCAATTTGTAATTCTGTTTTAAGTGGCAAGTTCGTTGGTATTTGTTTTGCTAGTGCGCTTCGGGATATTTTCCAATTTATTGATTATTGGTTAGAATTTGAGGCTTATTTATGAGTATGATTTTGGAGTCTAGGTCAATTAGACTGGGACACTGATCTGAAGAGAGGTCCCAGCATGATTCTATTGCTAAATAATTAAGAGAGATACCTTTAGTCACACAAAAGGCTAAGAGATCTGGTGTTTTATTTGGATCTGTAGGCCAATAAGTTGGTTCTCCTGTAGATATGTGTTGTAGGTTGTTTCCTGTTATTGACTTCAGCAGTTGTCTACCTCTTGTTGTAATTACCCTAGAGCCTCAGTGATGATGTTTACAGTTAAAGTCTTCTCCTGCCATGAATTTGTGTCCAAGAGAACTGAAATAGGTGCTAAAGTTGATTTCGTTGATTGGTTGACCAGGAGAATAGTAGACCGCAGATAAGGTAAGGTTGCCTAGCCAGTCTTCGATGACAATGCTAGTTGATTGCAGGTACTTTTCACTGAACTTATTTGACTCATGGTGTTTTATATTAGATTTGATTATGATAGCTGTGCCACCGTGTGCCTTGTCATTTGGATGTTTTGTGTACTGGACAATGTATTTTGGAATTTTGATATAGTTTTTGTCTGTTAGATGAGCTTCTGATACAAGCATAACATCAATTTTCTTCTCGTCGAGGAAAATTTTTATTTCTTGGATGTGGTTCGTTAGGCCATTTGAGTTCCAGACGGCTATTTTAAGTCTGTCTTGCATTAGTGCATTTTGGAAATCATAGTCATAAGAAGATTAAGCATAGTGTTCATTTTCTCTACTAGTTTTGTCATCGGGTTTTCAAGGTTGGCAATTTTCGTTGAATGGTTTGAGCCGACATTAGTTTGTTGATTTGTGATTTCATCCGCTTGACTATTTCCTGAAGTTTTTTGAGCGTAAGAAACACCAGAGGTTACTGTTTGACTATTAGTTTCATAGGTGTCTGTTCTGTGGGTATCTTAATTCTTTCTGAGTTGGGGGAATTTTTCTTTTTGTATTTGTTTGTATATGCTGCAGCACTTATAGTTGGCCGGATGGTTTCCCATACAAAGTACACATTTTACGTTATTGCTGAGTTCTTTTCGTGAACAGTGTAAAGTAAGATGATTACTTGCACACTTTACGCATCTTGGAGGCATATGGCAGAATTTTTGTGTGTGAACGTAGC